TCCTTGCTTCCTGAATGCAGCTCTCCATCCACGAGACGGAGGACCCCAACGACAACCGGTACCTGCTGGTGATGAAGGGGGCCCCCGAGCGCATCCTGGACCGCTGCTCCACCATCCTGCTCCAAGGCAAAGAGCAGCCCCTGGACGAGGAGCTCAAGGAGGCCTTCCAGAACGCATACCTTGAACTGGGAGGACTGGGAGAGCGCGTCCTGGGTATGAGAGGGAGGGGGGGAGGGGAGGGAGACATGGAAGGAGGGATAGAGGAGGAAGGAAGGAGGGAAGGAAGGAAGGAAGGAGGGAAGGCAGGGAAAGAGCAGCCCCTGGACGAGGAGCTCAAGGAGGCCTTCCAGAACGCATACCTTGAACTGGGAGGACTGGGAGAGCGCGTCCTGGGTATGAGAGGGAGAGGGTGGAGGAGGAGGGAGGGATGGAGGGAGGAGGGATGGAGGAGGAAGGAAGGAAGGAAGGAAGGAGGGAAGGAGGGAAGGCAGGCAAAGAGCAGCCCCTGGACGAGGAGCTCAAGGAGGCCTTCCAGAACGCATACCTGGAACTGGGAGGACTGGGAGAGCGCGTCCTGGGTACGAGAGCGGGAGAGGGAAGGAGGGATGGGAGGGAGAAATGGAAGGAGGGATGGAGTAGGAAGAGAGGGAGGGAAGGCAGGCAAAGAGCAGCCCCTGGACAAGGAGCTCAAGGAGGCCTTCCAGAACGCATACCTGGAACTGGGAGGACTGGGAGAGCGCGTCCTGGGTACGAGAGGGAAGCATGGGAGAAATGGAAGGAGGGATGGAGGAGGAAAGATGAGGGAGGGAAGGCAGGCAAAGAGCAGCCCCTGGACAAGGAGCTGAAGGAGGCCCTCCAGAACTCATACCTGGAACTGGGAGGACTGGGAGAGCGTGTCCTGGGTACGAGAGGGAAGGAAGGAGGAAGAGATGCAGGGAGGGAGGGAGAGATGGAGGGATGGAAGGGATGGAGGCCTTCAAGAATGCCTACCAAAAACTGGGAGGACTGAGGCAGCACATCTGGGTAAGAGAGGCAAGGAAGGAAGGAAGGAAGGAAGGAAGGGGGGAGGAAGAGGGAAGGAGGAGGAGGAAGGAAGGAAGGAAGGGAAGAAGGAAGGAAGGAAGGAAGGAAGGAGAAGGAAGGAAGAAGGAGAGATGAATGGGAGAAAGAGGGAAATAAGGAGGGAAGGTAGAAAGGAAGGTGAGATGGAGGTAAGAAAGGAGGGAGAGATGGAGGGAAGGCAAAGAGCATCCACTGGATGAACTGGGAGGACTGGGAGAGCGTGTCCTGGGTTTGAGACAGAGGCAGGGATACATTGAGGGGAGATGGAGGGAGGAAAGGAAGGAAGGAAAGAGGAAGAGAGGCAGGAAGGGAAAGAAGGAGGGAGAGATGGATAGATGAAAAAATGGAAGGGAGGAGGTATTCCAGAACGCCAACCTGGAACTGGGAGGACTGGGAGAATGGGTCCTGGGGATGGAAGAGAGGGCAGTAGGGAAGGAGAGATGGAAGGAAGGAGAGAGAGAGAGATGGAGGAAGGAAGGAAGAGATGGAGGGAAAGAAGGCAAGAGGGAGAGATGGGGGAAAGAAGAAATGCCTTAAGGAACACTTACCTGGAGGACTGGGAGGGCATGTTCTGGGTACGAGAGGGAAGGAAAGGAAGGAAGGAGTAGGCGAGAGGTGGAAAGAAGGAAGAAGAAAGAGATGGATGGAGGAAGACATGGAGGGAATGAAGGAGGAAGGCCTTCCAGGATGCATATCTGGAAGTGGGAGGACTGGGAGAGCCTGTCCTGGGTACGGCTGATCCATGCAGGGAGGGAAGAAGCGAGGGAGAGATGGAGGGAAGAAGAAAAGAATAGAGGGAAGGAAGGAAGGAGGAAGAGATGGAGGAAGGGAAGGAAAGGAAGAAAGGAGGCCTTCCAGAATGCGGGAAGGAAGAAATGAATGAAGGAGAACGCCTACCTGGAATTGGGAGGACTGGGAGATAGGGAGGGATGGATGGAAGAAGAGATGAATGGATGGAGGGAGAGATGGAGGGAGAAAAGAAGGGAAGGAAGGAACGGGTAGAGATAGAAGGAAGGATTGAGAAATAAGAGGAGGAAAACAGAGGGAAGGGAGGAATTTGGTGTACCGCACCATAGAATGAATGCGGTTTGGTGCTGCTTTTACTGCTGTGTCTCAATGCCATGGTACCCTGGGAGATGTAGTTTTCCTTAAGGGCCCGGGTTTGTGGGCCCCTGAGTGCTAAGCGGTGCCCCTTGCCCCCGACAGGCTTCTGCCACTTCTTCATGCCGGAGGAGCAGTACCCCAAGGGCTTTGCCTTCGACTGTGACGATGTCAACTTCTGCACCGACAACCTCTGCTTTGTGGGGCTCATGTCCATGATCGACCCCCCAAGGGCCGCCGTCCCTGACGCCGTGGGGAAGTGCCGCAGCGCCGGCATCAAGGTAAAGGCCCCTTGCAGGGAAGGATGAAGACTGCAACTCCCACCATTCCTAACAGCCTCAGGCCCCTTCTGCTTAAGCCTTCGGCAAACAGCATCACAGCACAAGGAGAGAAATATACACTGTACATGACTTCCTTATATACAATTCTGTACATTTACACATAGCAATCTCTGATTGGTTCCCAACTCATTGACTTAACTCAAACCCAGGATTGCATCATTCACAATCACCTGGACTAGGCCAGAACACATTCCCCAAATGATTCCCTATATACAGTTAATGCATGACTCAGCATTTCCAATAGAAGCCTATTAACAGTGCATGACTCAGCTATATTACATTACAATACATTGTAACACCTGACAAAACAGGAATAAAAGCCTCAGACTGAGGGGGGAAAGGAAAGGGCCTGAGGCTGTTAGGAATGGTGGGAGTTGGAGTCCAAAACACCCAGAGGGCTCAAGTTTGCTCATGCCTGTTCTCGTGCCAGCAGTAGGGTGAATGAGCTTCAGCAATTACAGTTTCAGCCCCAAAAGAAGGACAAAAGGAATTACAGTTGTTGTGATTAATTTCACAATTCAGCAGCAGATCAGTTGCACAACTTCAGCGCTTTCCAGTAGCTTCTTCCTGCACAGTATTTTCAGTCAACTGCTCCCACAAACTGCAGTCACTCTGGAACTCTTTACAGGCACTTGAGCACATGCCCGGCCATTGTCAGTTTTACTATTGTTTTCCCCTCCAATCTAGATGACACTACAAACTTACCACAGCACACGGTTATATCTTGTCTTAGCAGACAGGTTCCTTTAATAAATTACACAGAGCCTTCGGCAAACAGCATCACAGCACAAGGAGAGGGAGAATACACTGTACATGACTTCCTTATATACAATTCTGTACATTTACACATAGCAATCTCTGATTGGTTCCCAACTCATTGACTTAACTCAAACCCAGGATTGCATCATTCACAATCACCTGGACTAGGCCAGAACACATTCCCCAAATGATTCCTATATACAGTTAATGCATGACTCAGCATTTCCAATAGAAGCCTATTAGCAGTGCATGACTCAGCTATATTACATTACAATACATTGTAAAACCTGACAAAAACAAACAAACTCTCAGGCGGAAAAGGAAGGGGCCCGAGGCTGGAAGGAATGATGGGAGTTGCAGTCCAAAACACCCGGAGGGAGGGGCCAAGTTTGTCCATGCCTGTTCTAGTGCCAGCAGTAGAGTGAATGAACATCAGCAATTACAGTTGCTGCTGGCCAAAGTAGCTAGCCTCGCCTTCAAAACTGTCGCGCTTTATCTCACAATTCAGCAGCAGATCAGTTGCACAACTTCAGCGCTTTCCAGTAGCTTCTTCCTGCACAGTATTTTCAGTCAACTGCTCCCACAGACTGCAGTCACTCTGGAACTTTTACAGGCACTTGAGCACATGCCCGGCCATTGTCAGTTTTACTATTGTTTTCCCCTCCAATCTAGATGACACTACAAACTTACCACAGCACACGGTTATATCTTGTCTTAGCAGACAGGTTCCTTTAATAAATTACACAGAGCCTTCGGCAAACAGCATCACAGCACAAGGAGAGAGAATACACTGTACATGACTTCCTTATATACAATTCTGTACATTTACACATAGCAATCTCTGATTGGTTCCCAACTCACTGACTTAACTCAAACCCAGGATTGCATCATTCACAATCACTGGACTAGGCCAGAACACATTCCCCAAATGAGTCCCTATATACAGTTCATGCATGACTCAGCATTCCCAATAGAAGCCTATTAGCAGTGCATGACTCAGCTAGATTACATTACAAAACATTGTAAAACCTGACAAAAACAAACAAACACTCAGGCGGAAAAGGAAGGGGCCCGAGGCTGGAAGGAATGGTGGGAGTTGCAGTCCAAAACACCTGGAGGAAGGGGCCAAGTTTGTCCATACTTGTTCTAGTGTCCGCAGTAGAGTGAATGAACGTCAGCAGTTACAGTTGCTGCTGGCCGAAGTATCTAGACTCGACTTCAAAACAAACAAACACTCCGGCAGAAAAGGAAAGAAAGGGCCTGAGCCTGGGAGGAATTGAGCAAGTCCTCACTTTCCCCATGTTTTTTAAAATAGATCTAATTAGGAAATGACATTGATAACCCAGGAACAAACACATTGCGATATATTATAATTAAATAATAATAAATATATAATAAAATAATATATTAATATTATATTGTGTCATACATTACATCACTTATTTATTTACGACATTTATATGCCGCCCTTCTCACCCCGAAGGGGACTCAGAGCGGCTTACAAGATAAATAGATAGATAGATAGATAGATAGATAGATAGATAGATAGATAGATAGATATGAATGAATGGATTGCATAGTGTCTAGATCTAGGGAAGTCCTGCTCCCCATGCTCTATTCTGCTCTGGTTATACCACTTTACCTGGAATATTGTGTCCAATTCTGGGCACCACCATTCAAGAGAGATGTTGACTCTAAGCTGGAATGTGTCCAGAGGAGGGCAACTAAAACGATCAAGGGTCTGGAGAACAAGCCCTATGAGGAGCGGCTTAAGGAGCTGGGCATGTTTAGCCTGAAGAAGAGAAGGATGAGAGGGGATATGATAGCCATGTATAAATATGTGAGAGGAAGCCACAGGGAGGAGGGAGCAGATAAAGGGTCTGGAGAACAAGCCCTATGAGGAGCGGCTTAAGGAGCTGGGCATGTTTAGCCTGAAGAAGAGAAGGCTGAGAGGAGATATGATAGCCATGTATCAATATGTGAGAGGAAGCCACAGAGAGAAGGGAGCAAGCTTGTTTACTGCTTCCATGGAGATTAGGACAAGGAACAATGGCTTCAAACTACAAGAAAGGAGATTCCATCTGAACATGAGGAAGAACTTCCTGACTGTGAGAGCTGTTCAGCAGTGGAACTCTCTGCCCCGGAGTGTGGTGGAGGCTCCTTCTTTAGAAGCTTTGAAGCAGAGGCTGGATGGCCATCTGTCAGGGGTGCTTTGAATGCAATATTCCTGCTTCTTGGCAGAATGGGGTTGGACTGGATGATGGCCCAGGAGGTCTCTTCCAACGCTAGGATTCTAGGATTCTATGAATGTAATGTTCGTTTGTGGGATTGACATAACTCAAAAACCCCTGGACAAATTGACACCAAATTTGGACACAAGACACCTCTCAGGCCAAACAAGTGACCATTAAAAACACTGGAAAACACAGCAGAAGAGACTTTAAAAGCCAAAAAAACAAAAAAAATCCCCACATTACAATGCATGTGCAAAACCACATATATACACAAGCACACATATATACACATATACACAAATAGATACACACACAAAACACATATACACAGACTGGCCATGGCAGGGAATGGCTTGTGTGTGTGTGTGTGTGTGTGTGTGTGTGTATGTATATATATATGTGTATGTATGTGTGTGTGAGTGTGTCTGTCTATCTATCTATCTATCTATCTATCTATCTATCTATCTATCTATCTCTATCTAACTAGCTATCTATATATATACAATATATTATATTACTAGCATAGGAACCCCCGGTGGCGCAGTGGGTTAAACCCTTGTGCCGGCAGGACTGAAGAACGACCTGCGACCTGCAGGTTTGAATCCGGGGAGAGCGCGGATGAGCTCCCTCTATCAGCTCCAGCTCCTCATGCAAAGGGGACATGAGAGAAGCCTCCCACAAGGATGATAAAAACATCAAAAATCATCCAGGTGTCCTCTGGGCAACGTCCTTGCAGACGGCCAATTCTCTCACACCAGAAGCGACTTGCAGTTTCTCAAGTGCTCCTGACACGACAAAAATAAATAAATTACTAGCATAGCACAATATCAGTATTATATATTATTATATTGTACTTTACCATTATACTGTAATATTATTAGTAATATTACATGTATTTTATTTATTTATTTGCTTTATTTCTATACTGCATATTTCAGCCCAGACAGGCGACTCAATGTAATATGAAATATATAATTATAATATTGTATTATTATTAGTAGTATTATACTGTATTACATTACCAGTGGCGCAGTGGTTTAAACCGCTGAGCTGCTGAGTTTGCTGGTCACAATTTCGAATCTGGGGAGCTGAGTGAGCTCCCGCTGTCAGCCCCAGTGCCAACCTAGCAGTTCGAAAACATGCAAATGTGAGTAGATCAATAGGTACTGCTCTGGTGGGAAGGTAAGGGCGCTCCATGCAGTCATGCCGGCCACATGACCTTGGAGGTGTCTACGACAATGCCGGCACATCGGCTTAGAAATTGAGATGAGCACCAGAGTCCCAGAGTTGGACACGACTGGACTTCATGTCAGGGGAAAAACCTTTACCTTTACTATAGGTATATATAATATATTATATTATATTGTATATACTATATATTATATATTATATTATATGGTTAGCATAGCACAGGAGGCAAGGTGGAACTGTCTTCCTGGCCCCTCTCTTTTCACTCTGGCCCCACATCATGTGCTGCTGCAGCCGTTTGAGACACTTTTTGGTAAACTTTTCCCAATTTTTAAAAATGATAAATCCAATTAGGAAATGACATTTATCACCCGGGAACAAAAATGACATCTCATTAATTGTTCCTGGCTGCGATTTCCACGGCCGGAGGTCATCTATTCTGGGATGCCGCAGCTGTTTTGCGGATGCCGAGGATTTGGGATGGACACCGGACTCCCTTTGAGTCCCTTTCTGGGGAAGTATTTTGCACGCCTGCCGTGCCTTTGTTTCCCTGGGGAGGAAATCCAGCCATAAAGGAAGCCGGGGTATAAATACATGCAATAATAATAATAATAATAACAACAACAACAACAATAACCCAGAATATATATCACATTTGCTGTGACATACTGTGTTTTTGTCAGTAAAATAATAATAATAATAATAATAATAATAATAATAAAATAATAATAATCCAGATATATATCTTTTGCTGTGACATACTGTGTTTTTGTGTCAGTAAATAATAATAATAATAATAATAATAATAATAATAATAATCCAGCATATATATCTCATTTGCTGTGACATACTGTGTTCTTGTGTCAGATAATAATAATAATAATAATAATAATAATAATAATAATAATCCAGAATATATATCAGCATAGTGTCTGCTTGTGGACTCATCTTGTTGTGTTTCAAATAATAATAATAATAATAATAATAATAATAATAATAATCCATCATATGTCTCATTTGCTGTGACATACTGTGTTTTTGTGTCAGAAAATAATAATAATTCAGCATATATATCTCTTTTGCTGTGACATACTGTGTTTTTGTATCAGGAAAATAATAATAATAATAATAATAATAATAATAATAATAATAATAATAATTCAGCATATATATCGCTTTTGCTTTGACATACTTTTTTTGGTCAGTAAGATAATAATAATAATAATAATAATACAATCCAGCATATATGTCTCATTTGCTGTGACATACTGTGTTTTTGTATCAGTAAAATAATAATAATAATAATAATAATAATAATAATAATAATAATAATCCATCATATGTCTCATTTGCTGTGACATACTGTGTTTTTGTGTCAGAAAATAATAATAATTCAGCATATATATCTCTTTTGCTGTGACATACTGTGTTTTTGTATCAGGAAAATAATAATAATAATAATAATAATAATAATAATAATAATAATAATAATTCAGCATATATATCGCTTTTGCTTTGACATACTTTTTTTGGTCAGTAAGATAATAATAATAATAATAATAATAATAATAATAATAACAATCCAGCATATATGTCTCATTTTCTGTGACATACTGTGTTTTTGTATCAGTAAAATAATAATAATAATAATAATAATACAGAAAATAATAATAATTCAGCATATATATCTCTTTTGCTGTGACATACTGTGTTTTTGTATCAGGAAAATAATAATAATAATAATAATAATAATAATAATAATAATAATAATAATTCAGCATATATATCGCTTTTGCTTTGACATACTTTTTTTGGTCAGTAAGATAATAATAATAATAATAATAATAATAATAATAATAACAATCCAGCATATATGTCTCATTTTCTGTGACATACTGTGTTTTTGTATCAGTAAAATAATAATAATAATAATAATAATCCAGCATATATATCTCATTTGCTGTGACATACTGTGTTCTTGTGTCAGATAATAATAATAATAATAATAATAATAATAATCCAGCATATATATCTCATTTGCTGTGACATACTGTGTTCTTGTGTCAGATAATAATAATAATAATAATAATAATAATAATAATCCAGAATATATATCTCATTTGCAGTGACATACTGTGTTCTTGTGTCAGATAATAATAATAATAATAATAATAATAATAATCCAGCATATATATCTCATTTGCTGTGACATACTGTGTTCTTGTGTCAGATAATAATAATAATAATAATAATAATAATAATAATCCAGAATATATATCTCATTTGCTGTGACATACTGTGTTCTTGTGTCAGATAATAATAATAATAATAATAATAATAATAATAATAATAATCCAGAATATATATCTCATTTGCAGTGACATACTGTGTTCTTGTGTCAGATAATAATAATAATAATAATAATAATAATAATCCAAATATATATCTCACTTGCTGTGACATACTGTGTTTTTGTGTGAGAAAATAATAATAATAATAATAATAATAATAATAATAATAATAATAATACTCCAGCATATACATCTCATTTGCTATGACATTCTTTTTTATTTTTGGTCAGCAAAATAATGATGATAATAATAATAATAATAATAAAAACCCAGCATATATATCTCATTTGCTGTGATGTACTGTGTTTTTGTCAGTAAAATAATAATAATAATAATAATCCAGCATGTGTTTGTGTGAATAATAATAATAATAATAATAATAATAATAATAATAATAATAATAATAGTAGTAGTAGTAGTAATCCATCTTATATATCTCATTTGCTGTGACATACTGTGTTTTTGTGTCAGGATGATGATGATGATGATGATGATGATGGTGCATCTGTTTGGCTTCTCTTTTGGGGTGGAAGGCCCTGGATCTCCTCCATTGACCCGGCATGCTCTCCCATTCATAATTTCCCACTAAAGAGTTCAGAATGGCTTCTCTGCAGCTGCCTGATTGGCTGAGCCTCCTGTGAGGTCAGAGTGTCCCAGCCAATCAGAGACCAAAAGGCACACAACACTGGGGCAGGTCAAGCCTTTGGACTGTTCAGAAATTATTTTGCATGTTTACCTGAACCTGAAGGTCTCCCAATCAGAGCCAGGGGCAAAATATATAGTCCCTTATCAATGGGAAATAAAGTCTGTTTGAGCAACTGATGAGCCAAGGGGTTAATTAATTAATTAATTAATTAATAATAATAATAATAATAAATAATGATAATTTCCAGGGTTTGCAGATCAAGCCCATCCTTGATTATTTCAGACTTAGGTGGCAAAAAGGCAATGTTCTGGTGCTTCTGTTGAATCATGAGAAGTCAGAATATTTCCTGGACTTTGTGGGATGGCAACTCCCAGCATCCCCCAATCCCTGGCTGATGGGAGATGCAGTCCAAGAATACCTGGGGAGGCCAGGCAATTCCCAGCCCTGATTCAGAGTAATGTGTATCTTCTTTGCAAAAGACCACAAGGTCAATGGCTTTCAATGGATGTGGGCTTTGGTGGACCATCTCCATGACCGCCCCCTTTCTCCCCCCCCCCTTGCTGCTCCACGCAGGTGATCATGGTGACCGGGGACCACCCCATCACGGCCAAGGCCATCGCCAAGGGGGTGGGCATCATCTCCGAGGGCAACGAGACCGTGGAGGACATCGCCGCCCGGCTCAACATCCCCGTCAGCCAAGTCAACCCCAGGTCAGGAGGGCGAGGGAGGAGGGAGGGGAAGGAAGGAAAGATGGAGAGGGGAGAAGGAAGAAGGAAAGGAAAGAAGGGAGGAAAGAAAGACAGGAAGGGAGTGAGGTGGGAAGGGAAAGAAAAAAGGAAGGAAAGAGAATAGGAAGAGGAAGAAAGAAGGGGGAAGGAAAGAAGGGAAGGAAGGAAGAGAGGGAGAGGGAAGAAAAAGGAAAGGAGGAAGGAAGAAGGAAAGGAAGGAGGGAAGGAAGGAAGGATGGAAGGAAGGAAGGAAGGAAGGAAGGAAGAGGGGAGGAAAAAAAAGGAAAGAAGGGAGAAAAGAGGGAAGGAAGGAAGGGGGAGGGGGGAGGGAGGGAGGAGGAGGAAAGAGGGAGGAAGAAAGAAAGGAAGGGGAGAGGAAAAAGGAAGGAGGAAAGAGGAAGGAAAGAAGGGGGAAGGAAGAAAGGAAGGAAGAGGGGAGGGAGGGAAGGAAGGAAGAAAGGAAGAAGGGAGGAAGAAAGAGGAAGGAAGGAGAGGGGAAGGAAGGAAAGGGAAGGAAGGAAGAAGATGGGAGAAGAGAGGGAAGGAGGAAAAGAAGGGAGGGAGGAAAGGAAAGGGGAAAGAGAGGAAGAGGAAGGAAGGGAGGAGGAAGAAAGAAGGAGGAAGAGGAAGGAGGGAGAGGAAGGAAGAGTAAAGAAAGGAAGGAGGGAAGGAAGGAAGCAAAGAAGGACGGAAGACAGGAGGAAGGAAATATAGGGAAAAAGGGAGGGAGGAAGAGAAGATGGAAGGAAAAATGGAAAGAGGAAGAAGGATGGAAAGGGAGGGATGGAGAGAGGAAAGATGGGAAGAAAGGAAAGAAATAAGGAAAGATGAGGGAGGATGGAAAAGGAAGGGGAGAAGGAAGGAAGGAAGAAAGAGAGGAAGGAGGGAGAGAAGGGAAGGAGGGAAGGAAGGAATGAAGGAAGGAAAGATGGGGAGGGAGGCCCCCCAGTGCTGTACTCCCACTGCAACTCCCACTCTCCACTTCCTCCCAGGGATGCCAAGGCCTGTGTGATCCACGGCACGGACCTAAAGGACATGACCACTGAACAGATTGACGAGATCCTGCACAACCACACCGAGATCGTCTTCGCCCGCACTTCTCCGCAGCAAAAGCTGATCATCGTGGAAGGATGCCAGAGACAGGTAAGGCCCAAGGAAGGGGAACCCCAGTGTTGAATCCTGTGTGTCACGGAACATGAACTTTATGCTTATGATATGAGGCGCTATTTGGTCAAAGGAACCAGATGTTCTCTGGATGTTTGGGACTACAGCTCCCATCATCCCCAATCACTGGCCTTGTCAACCAGGGCTTATGGGAAAAGATGGAGGGAAGGAAAAAGAAAGAGATGGAGGGAAAGAAAAAGAAAGAGGTGGAGGGAAGGAAGGAGGAAGAGATGGAGGGAAGGAAGGAGGAAGAGATGGAAGGAAGGAAGGGAAGAGATGGAGGAGAAGGAAAGGAGGAAGAGATGGAGGGAAGAAGGAGGAAGAATTGGAGGGAAGGAAAGAGGAAGAGATGGAGGAGAAGGAGGAAGAGATGGAGGGAGGAAAGGAAGAGATGGAGGAAAGGAAGGAGGAAGAGATGGAAGGGGAAAGAGGAAAGAGGAAGGAAGAAGAAGGGAGGAAAGAAGAAGAGATGGAAGGAAGGAAGGAGGAAGAAATGGAGGGAAAGAAAGAGGAAGAGATGGAGGGAAGGAAAGAGGAAGAGATGGAGGGAAGGAAGAATTGGAGGGAAGGAAAGAAGAAGAGATGGAGGGAAGGAAGGAGGAAGAATTGGAGGGAAAGAAAGAGGAAGAGATGGAGGGAAGGAAAGAGGAAGAGATGGAGGGAAGGAAGGAGGAAGAATTGGAGGGAAGGAAAGAGGAAGAGATGGAGGGAAGGAAGGAAGTAGAATTGGAGGGAAGGAAAGAGGAAGAGATGGAGGGAAGGAAGGAGGAAGAGATGGAGGAAAGGAAGAGATAGAGAAGATGGAGGGAAAGGAAAGAGGAAGAGATGGAGGGGAAGGAGGAAGAAGGAGGAAAGAAAGAGGAGAGAGAGGGAAGGAGAGGAAGAGATGGAGGGAAGGAAGGAGGAAGAATTGGAGGGAAGGAAAGAGGAAGAGATGGAGGGAAGGAAGGAAGTAGAATTGGAGGGAAGGAAAGAGGAAGAGATGGAGGGAAGGAAGGAGGAAGAGATGGAGGAAAGGAAGAGATGGAGGGAAGGAAAGAGGAAGAATTGGAGGGAAAGAAAGAGGAAGAGATGGAGGGAAGGAAGGAGGAAGAGATGGAGGAAAGGAAGAGATGGAGGGAAGAAAAGGAAGAATGGAGGGAAGGAAAGAAAGAGATGGAGGAAAGAAAGAGGAAGAGATGGAGGGAGGGAGGCATGAAAGGAAGGAAGAAAGGAGGGAGAGATGGAGGGAAGGAAGGAGGGAGAGATGGAGGAAAGGAAGGAGGAAGAGATGGAGGGAGGGAGGCATGAAAGGAGGGAGAGTTGGAGGGAAGAAAGGAAGGAGGAAAAGATGGAGGGAAGGAAGAAGAAAGAGCTGTCCCCTCTTCCTTTGGCAATGTCCCTCAAGATAGCCTCAAACCAACTGGAGGAGCCTCCCAACTGGACTCGTCCTTCTGATGGCCTTGACCCTTCTTCCTTCCTTGCAGGGGGCCATTGTGGCCGTCACTGGGGACGGAGTGAACGACTCTCCCGCCCTGAAGAAGGCGGACATTGGGGTGGCCATGGGCATCGCTGGCTCAGACGTCTCCAAACAGGCGGCGGACATGATCCTGCTGGACGACAACTTCGCCTCCATCGTCACCGGAGTGGAAGAGGGTGAGTGGGCGGCTTAGTTGGTCCGGATCCCTGTGTGGGTCAAGGCACAACCAGACCGCTGGACGCTCCAGCACTGAGCCCTGGGCCTCCCCTCTCTCTGTCCTTCTCAGGCCGCCTGATCTTCGACAACCTGAAGAAGTCCATCGCCTACACCTTGACCAGCAACATCCCCGAGATCACCCCCTTCCTGCTCTTCATCATGGCCAACATCCCACTGCCCCTTGGAACCATCACCATCCTCTGCATCGACTTGGGCACCGACATGGTGAGTCCGGCCCTCAGACCCTCAGACCCAGACCTCCTCCCTCCCTTGAGCAGGCCCTTGCATTGAAGGACCCCTTGAGAAGGGGTCCTTGAGTTGACCCCTTGAAAGGCATGTCAACACTTGTGTCCATTTTGTTGTCTCCTTGAGTAGATCCATTGAATGGCAAGTCAAGGCTTAGGTCTGTTCTGTTGACTCCTTGAAGGGCAAGTCAATGCGTGTGTCCATCCAATTGGCTCCTTGAGTTGACCCCTTGCAGGACAAGTCAATGTTTGTGTCCATTCCATTGACTCCATGGGTTAACCCCTTGAAGGGCAAGTCCATTCCTTTGACTTTATAGGTTGACCCCTTGAAGGGCAAGCCAAAAGCTTATGTCTATTCCATTGGTTCAATGAGTTGGCCCTTGAAGAGCAAGTCAATGTTTATGCCCATTCCACTGGCTCCTTGAATTGACCCCTTGAAGGACAAGTCAGTGCCTTTGTGTCCATTACCATTGGCTACATGGGTTGACCACTTGAAGGGCAGGTCAGCACTTGTATCTGTTCCATTGGTTCCATTGGCTGACCACTTGAAGGGCAAATCAGTGCTTGTGTCCATTCCATTGGCCCCTTGAGTTGACCCCTTTGAAGGACAAGTCAACACTTGTGTCCATTCTGTTGGCTCTATGGGTTGACCCCTTGAAGGGCAAGCTAGTGCTTGTATCTGTTCCATTGGCTCCATGGGCTGACCTCTTGAAGGGCAAACCAAAGCTTATGTCCATTCCATTAGCTCCTTGAGTTGACCCCTTGAAGGGCAAGTCTGTTCCTTTAGCTCTATGGGTTGACCCCTTGAAGGACAAGCCAAAGCTTATGTTCATTCCATTGGTCCCAGGAGCTGACCCCTTGAAGGGCAAGTCAATGCCTTTGTGTCCATTGGCTCCATGAGTTGACCCCTTAAAGGAGCAAGTCAACGCTTCTGTCTATTCCATTGGCTCCTTGAGTTGACCACTGAATATCAAAACAATACTTGTGTATATCTACATATCTGTATCTCCTGCCTTGCTTTGACCACAGGTGCCGGCCATCTCCTTGGCCTACTTTTAACTTGTATGCAGAACACATCATGCGATGTGCGGGGCTTGATGAATGCAAGGCTGGGGTGAACATTGCAGGAAGAAACATTAACATCCTCAGATATATAGATGACACCATTCTGATGGCCGAAAGCGAGGAGGAGCTGAGGAGCCTTCTAATCAAGGTGAAAGAAGAAAGCGCAAAAGCTGGGTTGCAGCTAAACATAAAAAAACCCCAAGATTATGGCAACAAGAATTATTGACAACTGGAAAATAGAGGGAGAACATGTGGAGGCTGTGACAGACTTTGTATTTCTAGGTGCAAAGAATACTGCAGATGCAGACTGTGGCCAGGAAATCAGAAGACACTTACTTCTTGGGAGGAGAGCAATGTCCAGTCTCGATAAAATAGTAAAGAGTAGAGACATCACACTGGCAACAAAGATCCGCCTAGTCAAAGCCATGGTACAAAAATGCAACAAAAATGTCCTCTTGAGTGGGACATCACTAGTTAGCTATTATGGGAAAGTAGATTATTTCCTCTGACATAGCAGGTTATCTCAGAGCTCTTTGAAAAACAATTATCTATCAAATCAATAAAACATCTCTCAGTCCTATGAACTGGCCGGGAAATCAAACCAAAAAATATGTGCTAAATATTAATTACTTTCAAATGTCTCTAGATAAATTGCTATGTGAATTTGCACCCCTTTACCAACCATTTGGTGGCTGTGACAGACTTTGTATTTCTAGGTGCAAAGATTACTGCGGATGCAGACTGTGGCCAGGAAATCAGAAGACGCTTCCTTCTTGGGAGGAGACCAATGTCCAATCTCGATAAAATAGTAAAGAGTAGAGATATCACATTGGCAACAAAGATCCGCCTAGTCAAAGCCATGGTATTCCCTGTAGTAACCTACGGATGTGAGAGCTGGACCTTAGGGAAGGCTGAGCGAAGGAAGATAGATGCTTTTGAGCTGTGGTATTGGAGGAAAGTTCTGAGAGTGCCTTGGACTGCGAGAAGATCCAACCAGTCCATCCTCCAGGAAATAAAGCCTAACTGCTCATTGGAGGGAAGGATACTAGAGACAAAGTTGAAGTACTTTGGCCACATCATGAGGAGACAGCAAAGCCTAGAGAAGACAATTATGCTGGGGAGAGTGGAAGGAAAAAGGAAGAGGGGCCGACCAAGGGCAAGTTGGAGGGATGGCATCCTTGAAGTGACTGGACTGACCTTGAAGGAGCTGGGGGTGGTGACGGTCGACAGGGAGCTCTGGCGTGGGCTGGTCACGAAGAGTCGGAGATGACTGAACGAATGAACAACAATAGCAGGGTTGGGAGGACAATGGCTTTATAAACAAGTCCCGTTATTGATTAACTTTTGGGGGTAAAACAGATTTTATTATTTAAAAAAGTATTTGGGGAGTGTGAGGGAATTTCCTATACATTCTTATCTTAATATATATTCAAACTATTCAAACTGGAGCTTAAGGAACTTGGGAGGCCGCATCAGGTTTTTGACCCTTAGTTAGGGAACCCCTGCTCTAAACAGTAAACAACTGTGAATCACAAGTATAACTCTTTCAGGAAATAAGTTTTCCTCCTCTAATATTCAACACCATTCTTCAGATACAACAACTTCAACCTGGGCATGTTGATATGATTCTTTTAGAACTCCAGAATATGATTATAAAAACACATTACCATGAGCTACCAAACAAAATCAAGCCCCTTTGTTCTCATATATCTGGAAGTAAATCTGTCAAATCAGAAATAGTCATGCTGCTTGCAATTTTGGGGTTTTTGTTTTTGTTATTTGAAGGACGGGTAGTATGTATGCAGTTCTTTCTGAAGTCCTCTTTAGCTACCTAATTACAGTCTTCAGTATTTGTGCTGTCAGTGAATGGGTTCACAGTATGCAGTCACATCGGTCCTTTTCTTGATTTTCAAAACTTCAATTATGGCTAATAAAAGCTGATCTTGTTCATGGACTACAGGCTGTGAGAACCACACAATTAAAACCTCCAGGGATTCTACTTTAATTCAAAATAGAGTCCCGTGGCATCCAAAAAGCTCTGCACTCCACAAAAAAGATTGAATAGAAAATGTCAACAATTAGGCCAACTTCACATCTAAGAATGTTAGTAACCCTATAGAGAGGGTATTCAGACTTATCTGGGACTTTACAAAAATGCGGTGCAATTCAGTAAGGGTTCAACAACCTCAATTGTCTTGTATGAAACATACAAAAACATAATTATAACATACTTCCGTGGGCTGTATACAATATAAATGCCATAAAATTATGGAATATTTTATTGCATCATGATAAAAAAAAAATCCTTCGTTTCTAGGAAACAATTGGAAAATAAATTCTGCTTTATTTTGGCTGAGAAACAGCTACACACTAGACTTGGGCGGTTTCGTTCGTTAATTTCGTAATTCGTTATTAATTCGTATTTAAATTAGCTTACAATCCAATATTGAGCCATGCAGGAATAGTGTGAGGAGTAAATTAGATTCGAAACAATTTTTTAAATTTATTTCGTAATTATTTTGTAATTATTTCGTAATTATTTTGTAATTAATTCATAATTATTTTGTAATTATTTTGTAATTATTTCCGCATGTCTGGTGCAAGTTTTATAGTTGCTGTGTGTTTTATCACACCAACAGTCAACAACAGAGGGAGAGGGAAGCTTCAGAAGTTCCTCCTGTCCCATTTGGAGGTTTTTTTTAGCATATTGCGCAATCTCGTCCGCCATTAACGAATCGATTTGTAATTATACGAAATTTCGTATATTTCAAAATTTTTAATAGGAACATTTCAGAATTATTAAAAAAATGAAACGCAAGGGCCCCCTAAAAACAAAACAAGTTTAGAACCAAATTTTTCTGTGGTTACCCAAGCCTACTACACACATATTCAAGTCATCCTTAATCATCCCATGGAAAATGGATTGTCTACCAAAGATGAAAACTGAATTCTAAGGAAAGAAAAAAGTGTTAATAAATTAAATAATCATTGATGTTCACCTTAGCAAATTTTGACTGTAATACGTCTCTGAGCACATGGCTGCCTATTCTGCATCATCCACATGGAGGGATGGACGGTTGGCCCACCTGCAGAAAGCAGACATGTGTGGCGGTTGATTTGAAGGCTTCCATGAAGGAGGCCAGACTTTGTGGGACATGTTGACTTCCCAGTCACATGACAGGGGTGGAGCTGCAGGCCATTTAAGACTGCTTTGCTCCCTTGACATCCTCTTTGCTTCATACTCTGAAGTTTGGGAGAGAGCACCTGCAGGATGGCCTTCCAGAGGTTGAGAGGTTCAGCCAAAGAAATTTGGATGGCCTTCAGGAGATTTGATGCCCATATATCCTTGGAGGTGATCAGAGAGGGTGACACCTGAACAACAGATAATTCTCACTAGGTGGCTAATCATAGAATCATGGAATCATAGAATCAAAGAGTTGGAAGAGACCTCATGGGCCATCCAGTCCAACCCCCTGCCAAGAAGCAGGAATATTGCATTCAAATCACCCCTGACAGATGGCCATCTAGCCTCTGTTTAAAAGCTTCCAAAGAAGGAGCCTCCACCACACTCCAGGGCAGAAAGTTCCACTGCTGAACGGCTCTCACAGTCAGGAAGTTCTTCCTCGTGTTCAGATGGAATCTCCTCTCTTGTTTGTAGCCATTGTTCCGAATCCTAGTCTCCAAGGAAGCAGAAAACAGGCTTGCGCCCTCCTCCCTGTGACTTCCTTTCACATGGCTATCATATCTCCTCTCATCCTTCTCTTCTTCAGGCTAAACACGCCCAGCTCTTTAAGCCGCTCCTCATAGGGCTTATTCTCCAGGTCCTTGATCATTTTAGTTGCCCTCTGTCGCCATCTCTCTTGAATTGTGGTTCTCAGAACTGGACACAATATTCTAGGTGTGGTCTAACCAAAGCAGAATAGAGGGGTAGCATTACTTCCCTAGATCTAGACACTATGCTCCGATTGATGCAGGCCAAAATCCCATTGGCTTTTTTTTGCCGCCACATCACATTGTTGGCTCATGTTTAACTTGTTGTCCACAAGGACTCCAAGATCTTTTTCACACGTACTGCTCTTGAGCCAGGCATTGTCCCCCATTCTGTATCTTTGCATTTCGTTTTTCCTGCCAAAGTGGAGTATCTTGCATTTGTCACTGTTAAACTTCATTTTGTTAGTTTTGGCCCATCTCTCTAATCTGTCAAGATTGTTTTGAATCCTGTTCCTGTTCTCTGGAGTATTGGCTATCCCTCCCAATTTGGTGTCATCTGCAAACTTGATGATCCTGCCTTCTAGCCCTTCATCTAAGTCATTAATAAAGATGTTGAACAGGACCGGGCCCAGGACGGAACCCTGCGGCACTCCACTTGTCACTTCTTTCCAGGATGAAGAGGAAGCATTGGTGAGCACCCTCTGGTTCGTCCATTTAAACAATTACAGATCCACCTCACCGTAGTTTTGCCTAGTCCACATTGGACTAGTTTGTTTGCCAGAAAGTCATGGGGGACCTTGTTGAAGGCCTTACTGAAATCCTGGTACACTACATCCCTGCCATCCTCTTTGCTTGTACTCTGAGATTTGGGAGTTTGGCCTTCCAGAGGTTGAGAGGTTCAGCCAAAGGATTTTGGATGGCCTTCAGGAGATTTGATGCCCATATATCCTTGGAGGTGGTCAGAGAGGGTGATGCCTGATCCACAGATAATTCTCACTAGGTGGCTAATACCACGATCAAATCCCCTTAACCATGTTTTTTACTCCTCTGGTTATTCCAGAAGTTCTTATAAATAAATAGGTCAGTGTAAGGAAGCGTAATCCCACCTAAATGGGATTACCAAAATTAAGTAAATATGTATGTTGATCCACCTA